TCACTTTGACGGGTACAGTGTCAGTATGGCTCTAGCAATGAACTGTACCGCTTAGTGATCAATTGATTGTAACGTTTAGGTTTGGATATCTGACCCATAACTTCCATGACACGGCAGGATTGTGAGGCCCTTTGTCTTCTATGGTCATCATCCTCATCCTCCTCCATTGCGAAAGCCTCATCTCCACCTCCACCTTCCTCGAGTTTGACCAATTCTTCCTATTGTGCCAACAATCTTTTATGTTACTCCTCAAACTGTTTATACACTCTCCTTGAAGAATGCATTGTAAGAATTCAAGATTTGAAAACAATGAAGATGGATGTACGGTTTATATGGACACAAAAAAGAAAGGATGAGGTTCTTGGTATTTTTTTTCACACAAAAAGTATAAGCTTTGGTAGAAAGTGTTGAAAATATTGAAATATGGTGTAAGGTGGAAGATGAGGGTTAGGTATTTATAGGAAAAATAAATAAATTTTAAAAAAAAATTATGTATTTTTTAACAATTTTTATAAATTTTAATTTAGGTAATTAATCTGGACTGTTGGATTTGAAAAAAAATCAAACCCAATAGCCTATACGTTGACACGTGGCCAACAGTCATAATTCTGACCGTTGTGCCTTTTTTTTTTTTTTTTTTTTTTAATTTATGGGGGGAAAACGTGGATTGTTAATCTCTGGATCAGACGATCCAGATCAACCCACGTCACTAGTCGTTGGATGACAAATTCAAATTATTTTTACCATTGGAAATCCAATGGTCCAAAAAACTAGCCATTGGAAATCCAACGGGCCACGTAGCCTCATATTAGTTCGGTTTAGTGCCCCTGCGCAAACGAGCCTGCCTTTGATTTCTTGTCGGCAACACGTGCCCAGTCGCACATGCTTCCCACGCGCCTTGTGCAATTTTTTTTTTTAAAATGGCTTCCAACATCACGATGGCGTCAACATGATGTCAGATGGGCCCTTCCATAGGCCTGTCGATTTTGGGTTAGCCTGGAGACCAGCTTAAATTGGGTGCCGTCCTATCCACATGTGCTGGAGGGGATAGGTTGGGTGCCGGGCCAAGAATGATGCTGGGTGCCGGCCTAAAAATCCCACGTGGACTTGCTCTTACTGAAGCCTTCTTTACCTTTGACATATATGTACTAATAGCTCAAAATAAGAACAATAATGCTTTCACTTTTTGTTACACCGAAGTTTGTGCATTACAAGAAAAATGAACAATAGTCACTACTTACGTAGTGATCATTGTTGTATCACAAACAACGTGTATGAAAAATTAAAAAAAAAGGGTTTTAGTGTATAATCCATCCCATTTATTTCTTTATTTTACTTCTATATTGCTGCTTTTATAATGATTTCTATCATATTTGAGTTTGAAATTGTCCCACCCCCTTTTATATGTGTCAAACTTCTTAACTAATTTGTTTAGCCCTTAAACCTAGCTAAAGAGACCTTTCTTTTTGGTTAATATTTTGCAACCAGTGGATTGTCGCAATGGGTATGACATTTCTTTTCAACTCACTATGTATCGAATTCAAACATTCTTCCTGTTAGAACAAGTCACACTTCTAGTTCGGATACAACTACCTGAGTTTGTTTTATTGATCTTTATGCCTTATCCAAGAAGAAGTTGGCTAGGTCTAGGATTGTTTTCAAATGTTTGTTATACTTTTTTGATAGCTGATAGTTTGTCTTTCGTTTCTGTTGTAAATTTGAAGTTCAAATTTGCCATGTAAGTAGGGTTTTCAAACCCTTCATGTAATACTGTTATAAATACAAGCAACCCATCCTTGTGACGGTATGCAATTGAAGTGAATAAACCTCTAGTGTTCTACGTTGCTTCTGAAAAAACAAAAGACTAGCTAGAGAGACCAAATCAGATGGAGAAACACTAAGAATGTTAGGTTGCACATCTTAACATATACCAACAAACTTGATGTCCATTGGTGAACATGCAGGCCTTATTATATATAATTATGGGTCTAGTCACATGATCTATGGACCAAAACTATATCTATAAGGTGGAGAGGTGTGTCAATCAGTTGAAGTTGAGACAAACCACCATCTATGCTAACAACAGCCTAACTCTCTGCATATACATTTCTCTGTCGCTTTGTAGGTTTGTTAGGTCATCGACCTGCCAACCATGGACTACCAGATCGACCAACAGCTCGCTTAATCAAGACCAATGCACTAACTTGGCCTAAACCAACATTTACACCTAATTACACGGTAACTTTCTTCTTCTTTCCTTTTTTAATTGAATTCAACATTTTACTATAAAACATGGAATTGAAAGAATTTATGATATAATGTTTTGGGTCCCTGATGTTACTGTGGAGCAATTTAGGCCTCACTTGGTGTGAGGAACGAGGACCCCATGTTTTAGAGATATTCTGATAGACATGGGTTTCCCATCATTGAAGTTAAAGAAGAAATATAATACCAACATAGCATCATGTAACTTTGATCTCTAGAAAGCTTATTGCTTTAGTTTGTTATTTTATTTCTTTGATAAGATTAACAAGGTATTATGTGTCCTTTCCCCAATCTAAAAGCAATCATTATGTATACCCTGCCCTTTGTGAGCTTCTCTCTCAAGCCAAAATAAATTCACACTCAAAATAGATATTTTGGTTCTATTATCCATTCGAAGACAGTTAAAAAAGGAAAATGTTTTTTGCTTGCTAAAAAAGTCATTTTGCACTCTTTATAAGTATATCCGAGTTGTAAATATAGCAAATTGAGAGTATAAAATGACTTTTTAGAATGTCAATAGCAACATCCTAAATCAAAAGAGCATATGATCTACTTGCAAGCTCTAAGAAGCCTTTATCTGATTGATCGACACTCATTTACCAATTGATTAATACACATTGAACTCTTATTAAATTATAGGGTTTAAGTTTCATAGACTTAAAACCCTAAAATATGAACCCTAATTACCGAGTTCACCCTAAAGTTATAAACCATCTCAGAAATATGATTAAGGTTACTACCATGCAAAAACTCAACGATGCTTGTGAAAAGATTAAACTTAAGGTGCGTTTAATAATGATTTGGGTTTTTGTGTTATAGATAAAGAGAAATATATAAATGAGAAAGGAGGAATGAAGAAGAGGCCGTGAGAGGGGGTGGGAAACAAATAAAAAGCAATAAATAAAAAGAAAATATTGAAAGTGAAAAACAACTTGGTATAATTTGAAATAATTTTAATTTTAATTCACTTTTTCATCATTTAATAGTTATCTTAATTAATCTATTCTATTAAGAGAATCCTCCTTGTCAACTTTTTTTCTTTTTTTTCCTATTTGCCCTCACTTTTGATACACTATTGACAAAAGAAGGGCAAAATAGTAATTTTGTACCTTTTGACAGAATGACAATTATATCCTTATTTTTCCTATTTTACCCTCTTTTTTATTGAGAAAATGATAATCATATACTTATTTTTCCAATTTTACCCTCACTTTTGATACACAATATTTGCATAAGGAGGACAAAACAGTAATCATGTAATATTAAAAAAAAAGGCCAAATTTTTTTCTTGAACCCTATGGTGACATGGTACTTTTAATGTGACCCTATGGTGAAAAAAAGTTATTAATTAAACCTATGTGGTGATCCCTTTTAGCAATTGAGGTCCAAATCCAAACTTCCGTTATATAAACTCATGTGACTATCACGTGGATGAGTCAAATTCATCATTTCAATTCAAATTACATCCTATTCCATGGACATTTAGCATGACTTAGGTATACCGTATACATGTGTTCTTTCTGGGTGAGTTATGACATGCACTTGTTTCTCTTGTGAGTTGGCATCCGATTCCAATGTACAAAGCAAATTGAAACAAAGGGGAGATAACTTACATTTAACCATTCATGAAAGAAAAAGTAACTTCATCATTTCTCATACCATAATGTATTTTGCACACTAATGACAAAAGCATATATCCAACCCCACCCACCCCCCCCCCTCCAAAAAAAAAAAACACATACACACACACAAAGACAAAAGTATGTCTTCCACAATATATTGTGGTTCATCAAAACAGAAGGTCATTAAAACTGTTTTCCACAAAATAAACAAATAATCTAGTTTTTCACGATACACAATCAATTCCCTTTGCTTCATCAATTTTTTTTTTCCCAAGGTATTGTGCTTTTTCATCTGTTAATTTTGCATGTTGTGCATTGGGGCCACTCCAGAAGGTCTCCAAGGATTTTTAGCATTTGATGATATTGCAGGAGGTCTCCAAGGTGCACTGAAAGGTTTTGTACTGCAAGACTACATCCTGCATCAAACCACACTACGAATTAAAGACAAAATTGAAAGGCATATATGTAGTCTGGTACAAATTGATAGAAGAATTAAAATTCAAATAAGACTAAGTCTCTAACTCATGATCAAAGACGTGTTGGCATTGAAAAAAATAAACAATAGTATATTAAAAGTATTAGGATTTCCAAACGAAATCATACTTAAGAAATGAGGCGGGACTTCACATTCACCTCTTCTCCTAGCCATTGACATGATTTTATAGGTTTAATTGCAGTGCGTTTAAGTTTTATTTTTTTATTTTTTATTTATTTATTTTTTTTGTATAATCTAATTTCAGTTAAACCCTAAGTCATACTAGATGTCCACCGCATACAATGTAATTTGAATTGAATTGATGAATTTGACCCCTCAATGTGATAGTCACATGAGTTTATTTAACGGAAAAATAACGGAAGTTTGGATTGGACCTCAATTGCTAACAAGGCTCACTACGAGGGTTTAATTAGCAACTTTTTCACCACAAGAGTCACATTAAAAGTGTCGTGTCACCACAGAGAGCAAGAAAAAAAATTGGCCTAAAAAAAAATGCACTTATTAAGATAAATTGTTCACACACACAAAGTGTGTGCTCTATGCTAGTTTGCATTTAAGAATTCCCTTTGTACTGGATAGTGAGATAAGCTCTGTCCTAAAATATGAACCAAATTGTTTAATTAGGTGGGATCATATAAAATCAAATAAGATTTCACATGATCAACTATATATATTATACAAAAGAGAATGACTGTGTATATAATAATTTTATATAAAAACCCTCTGCATCCCACGCCAACTTCTCTCCATTACAGTCATCAACAAGGCGTTTCTGATTCCTACATATATTGAGCTAATTAGTAACAGGCAAAATAATCTCTCCAGGTTTTGGAAGCTAGGTGATCAGATATGGCCAGTCTTCCTCAAACTCCAACCAGCACTAGTAATTCTCACCTTTATCCTCAAGCACTCCAACTTAAACTTTACCAGGCCTTCATATTCTCGATTCCTATCCTTTTTTCCATCATCCTTTTTCTCCTCTTCTACTTGTTCTACCTCAAAAGAAGGGCTTCCGCTCTCTTATCATCTTCTCAACCAGTTCTTCCAAGGAGTAATAACTATAATCTTCAAGCTGCACCTACCACATATCATGTTTCCACTGTACCTCTCTCTCTCTCTCTCTCTCTCTCTCTCTCATAACATTAACATAGATGCATGCATACAAACTAACAAAATATTGGTGAAGCTGGGTAAGGTGATGGTAAGAGTAGGCTAGATATATTGCGTTTGAAACCCTTCTTTGTAATTAAAAAAAAAAAAGCAAAAGATTCCGTATCGATTTAATATTATTTGTGTTATAACTTATGCTTAAATATATCTTGAGTTCCAATTGCAGACCTATAGCATCGATCGTGTTCGTACGCACGATTGTATTAACAAAGCAACATATTCATATAACAATCTGCAGACTCTGATTATATACATGCAGCTTCCTTTATTTTCAAATCCAACTTATATCTGATGTTATTACATTATATGTGTAGGTTTGTCCCGTGGGTTTGAAGGGGGAGCTCAAGGAGAAGCTTCAAACAATTTTATTTGATGAAGAACAAAGGAAAAAGGATTCACAGTAAGTTTAAATTATTTCTACCATAAACTGTACGTTTTTAGTTATAAAAGAGGGTTTCGCATTCTGTATCTCTAGCATACTTCTACCCAAATCGAATAGATCTTGTATCGAAGACAGCAATGCGGTCCATAATCATCGTGCCATACAACAAGTGGCATGTGCCAATATGGTGTCATATCACATCTTGAAGTTGATAAGTCAATATGCACTAATTAGCCAACCAACTATTTGGATATTTGAGGAAAAAGAAGAAATTAAACAGTTAAGTTTCTACCTCAAAACTCTTATAGAAAAGGACACGTCCTGGAAATTATCCTCTAGTTATCATGGAGTTTTATTCTTGCTACCAGTTATGGCCTACAGGCTACAAAGGCCTCGAAGGTAGTTGTAATAGAAGGTTTAAATCTCTACACATGTCAGTTTAGAACCTTATATGGCAGCCACTACTTTTCTCAAAAGTGCTTTTGAGAAAGATACCCGTTTAGAAATGTTTTTATAAAAAACCATTTATGAAGTGATTTCAATGAAACAACTTTTATTCAAAGAAATTTATACCTTGATACAAATGCAAGTGCTTTTTAGAAAGAAAAAGAAAAAAACAAAGAACTTGTAGTATTTTCTAAAAGAAGCACATTCATATATAGTAGTATATTTTAAATAATTTAAAAGTGTTTCTAGTGCCAAACATTATCAGAAGTATTTAAAAAAATATTTTTTAGTTCCAAACAGAAGTACAGTATGAGAAATGGCATATTTGGAGGAGACAAAACGTGAATAAAGTTCAATAAAATTGTGTGTCCAATTGCCAACGAACAGTGAAATCACGAACATTGAAATTCTAAAATTCTTCACGGAAAGTGGATTGCTAACAAACATTGAAATCACGACACCTCACCTACAGCTCAATATTATTAGCTTATTCAACCTCTCATCATGTACTTCTATCTTTTCAGGCTCTTTTTAATTTGGTGTAATTACCAGATTTAAGTTAGGCTAACGAAACCCTAAAATTTGAACTGTGACAGATGTTGTGTTTGCTTGGGGGAATTCGAAATGGAAGAAGAGTTGCTGCAAGTGCGATCATGCAAACACGTGTTTCATGTTGATTGCATACATCACTGGCTACATAACAACACAACTTGCCCACTTTGCAGGTGCACTGTGATTCCAATCAGTACCAAACTTGATAGTCCTGCACCACCACCTGCAGCTGCTGGTGTGTCCGACCCAGTAGTACAACAGCGGCACCATAGCATAATAATATCCCATCAGAGTCCAGGTAGTATTGTATTGTTGGACCAACAAAATCAGCAACAACAGCATCAAACGGGCAATAATGCTATTTCTGGTGTAACAACACCAACTGAAGAAGGTTCATCAAGTGACCAAAGTAGTACGATTTTAAGGGACTCTGGGAGGTTACCTGGGTACTATACTAATCAAGATTTGAGAGAACCAGTCGTTGTCTACATCCAAACTCATGATTCATAACCCGTCGTTGTCTATATCCAAACTCATGATTCATAAGCCAAGGAGTGTAAGAGAAAAAACTTATGTGAGACTGTTCCTGCCACATGACAGTGATGAATACATGATATAAACCACATTCTCGTGGGAGTATTCCTACATGAGGAGGTGTTGAACGAAAGAAGTCGCATCATAGTGAGAGTCCAGTTTTGGCGGCAACTAGTTAGATGAGAGATTAGGGAATGGGAGAGTAGGGGGAAGCTCTTGTATTTTCTTAAACCTCAATGAAGGTGTGCACAAACCTAATTGTCAAAAGCCTCAATAAAATTTTGAGCAGTGAAAGTTCACAGCATACATGTTATAATGGGTTTTTTTATTTTTATTTTTTAGAGTGGTAGTAGCCCTTAAAAATTAAGCTATGTGAACAATATTGAAAAATAGAAAAATCACACTATTTGGGTAAGGGAAACAGAGTATCATAAAATAAACTGAAAATTTGGAAAAACGAAAAAAATGATCGTCGACAGCAGGGTTCGAACCTGCGCGGGCGAAACCCAACAGATTTCAAGTCTGTCTCCTTAACCACTCGGACATATCGACCAGTCTTGGCGAAAAAGAAAGTTCATTATATAAAACCTTTAATGATGTCTTTCCACTCTTACATATTTCCGGCTCTAGGTTTAGTTAAAAAATAGGTTGGACTGCGATTAAAATTTAGCTATGTGTTTACCAACCATGGAGGAATCAAAATAGAAGTGGGGTCCATACGGAATAAGAAATTCAATCCCTCATTTTATCTTTAGGAGGAGGTGGCATTCTAATTTCGCGAGAAAGAATGATAAGAATGCATATTTTATACCTATAATGCACTTATATAATTTCTAAATTTCCAATTTCTCTATTAATTAGCATACAGTATAATGTCTTATAGAACAAGAGCATTTTTGTGACATCCTGTCCCGAAATTATCGAAAATGTATGTGTGAAAAGACAGTTTTGCCCCTAGTTCGATTTCGTTGCAAATATGGGTTGTTTTTTTTTGTTGTGTTGGCATGTCTTTGGGCCACACACACACTCCCACACCTGCACCACCCTCTGTTCCCTTTCTCTGTGTTCCCCCGACCCCCTTTCCTCCCATTTCCCTTTGAAAACGTACGGACATACACCAAAACCATTCAAACTCCCACAGATCGAAGAAACCAAGTACACATTCAGACTCGTGAGGCTTGTGGGAGTCCAGTCGTACCATTTTCAGGTGAGAACTCTAACGTTTTCACGTCGATTTCACAATGGCCGAATTGGGGTACTATTCATGCAATCGTAAATTCTTACATTTTAGGGGAAATGAAGCTCATAGGCAGCTTGGTGAGGTCCCAAGGAGTCTCGGAGTAGTTCGTTTGGAAGATTTGGACGTCGGGATCGTTGGATGTGGAGTTGGTCGGATTTGGGAGATTTGGACAGGTAAAATCTAGTGGTTTTCAACCCTTAAAAGTAGTATATCGTTGTTCCCCTAGTCCTAAGTGTCATTTTGGTGCAAAAATCGTGAAATTTGGACGTAAAATGACCAAGATATCAAGGTTTAAAGTTTTTCCAGTTTTCCGGCGCCGGCGACGTCGCCGGAGTCTCGCCGGGGAAGGAGACGGAATATTCCGTCAAGTCTAACGGAATATTCCTGACGCCGTTAACGGAATCCGTTAGAACTAACGGAATATTCCTAACGGCGTCAGTTGACGCCGTCAGCGTGCCAGGCACGTGCCTGCGCGTGGGGGCGCGTGCGGCGGTGGAAAATTTTTCTAAAAATATGGGTGTGATCCTGAGGTTGTGTAGAGCACGTTAGTATATTCAATTGTCCAATTTGAGCAACGTATGAGAAGTTATTACGAAAGGAAGGTTATGTGCTTTAAAATTAACGTTTTTATAGTATTTTCGCATATAAGTGAGACGTATCCCGAGGACGAGCGTGGTCACTCGAGGCAGGGGGGTTACGACCCTTCCACATACCAGTGAGTGGGCTTTTGGTTTTCCGTATATACCTATATACTATTATTTTTCCCAGAAATTAATTTAAATGTTTAATAGTTATATGCCATGCATAATATCATTGTTACTCATACATTATTAGTTGCATTATTGGGCGTATATATTTATATACCTATGCATATTTGGTGTTGTGGACGCACAGGTAAGTGCCAGGTAAGCGTTATTTCACGTTTATATTCAATGGTGATTTGAGATGCTTAGAGAGCTCATAACCTGCAGCCCCGGTGTTAGTGCTCCCGCCCAGAGTAGGGCACAGTCCTTCACGTGATGTTCACCTCCCGCACCATACGCTCAGCTTGGATCCAAGTTAGGTGCACAGTCTTGTCGTACAGACCACTTTAGGTGGTTCCGACTCGTAGGTGACCCGTGATTATTCGCACAGCATTCACGTGATCGTAGCACTAGAGCGTTTATATGTATTACACCCAGGCCTGTCGTACAGACCACTTTAGGTGGTTCCGACTCGTGGGCAGGTTCAGTTATTGAGTTTGAGATTTGAGCTCTAGATACAGCCGTACAGGTCACGTTAGGTGACTCTGGCTGCCAGACTATATATACTTTGATGTGATTTATACCTGAGCACTTGCATTTCATTCTGAAGTTCCGACATGGCATATTATGGAGCATGATTGGCATATCTATATATACGAGCATATGTTTATTTTCTGGGAAGTATACAGGTTTTACGGCGAGGGGTTAGAATATTGTTTTTGAAATGGTTTTTGAAAAGCTTTGTTTTTGCCCACTCACGCTTTTGTTTTGCGCCCCTCCAGGTTCTAGCTACTCAGTTGGTTTGGTGGTTTCCCAGAGGGCTTTCCCGGCATTTCTGACAGACGATCACAGCGTATGTTCACCTTCGGGTGCACTGTTGTAACGCTATTTTAATTTGGACTGCTTAGGCGTTATGCTCTGAACTTGTGTTGTTTTCACGCTAGCACTTATTACTTCTAACTTATGTATGCTAGTTTTTGATTATTCGTACTTTTACGTTACTATTTTATTAGCTTCCACACTGTGCACATGGCTACGTCACTTCCACGTGACGGCCAGCACGCCCTGATCTAGGTCGGGGTGTGTCAATTTTAATATTCACATTGTTTTTTATTCCGATTCAAGCGAATTAGTTGACTTAAACAATTATTTTTATTTTTTATTTTTACAGAGGTAATAGAGTTCCATTACCAAGAACAATCGATTACAACAGTTCCAGATGGATACATATTCTTCAGTGACCAATTTTGTTGGTCTGGAGATGACTCACACAAAACACAAAAGTAATTTTAACCTGTATACGGCTACCACACAAACCACACCACCAGAACTAAGAGTCCCGAGGCAAATATGTCACATAGACGATAAACATAAAAAATTTTGTCATAATGCTGTTGGTATCCATCAAGGCTCAATCACTACAAACATAGTTCCATTTTATTAGCAATGGCTTTGGCTTTAAATTATGAGCATGATAAGTAATGCACAAATCTCTATTTCTTTGATTGCTTTTATGAGAGCAACTGCTAGAAATGATGAAACTATGGTAGTTTTTGTTGGAAATTTTCCCTTATCAGTCCTAAGATTAGGGCTTCATAAATTGGTGTGCAGTTAACTATCCCAAAACCAGCTACAAACATCTGCGCAAACAGCCCCTCCAGATTATTGCTTCCTCTGAAAATCTCCACAAGTTCACAACGGCAGCCATTGTTAAGGGCACAAACATGGACGATGGGACTTCAAACTCCATGATTCCCTGTTCGTACATTTCGCTTTGATCGTCGTCGAAGATTTTGCTAGTCAGATTGAACCCATGTGTGGATCCAAACAAGTAGGGGACTCTCAACTGAAGCTACTTGTTTGGATCATTGGGATGTGAACCATTAGGGGACTCTCAACTCAAGTGGATCCAAACAAGTAGCTTCAGTTGAGAGTCCCCTAATGGTTCACATCCCAATGATCCACATCCTTTGGTCATTCCACCACCTTCGGAATGTTCCTCCCTCCTGCTAAAACAAAGTCTAGCAAGTCTTGACGGTAGGCTCCAAGGAAAAGATATGCATATAAGAAAAAAACTTGGCTCTAAAACCTGCAATTGTACTAGTAACACGTCAAATTCGACCCTCGAGCATTAGACTACAATACAAAACCGAATATTTTGTTTTAAGACAGTTTGACATGTTATGTCATCAACTTGTTAATTTGCACTAATTAATAAAAAAAATTCTATTTAAGTATGTATGTAGATGATTATATGTTTATTTAGAAGTTAGATGGTTTGGTAATTTAATATATATTATCTTGAAAAATGATTGAAATGGAATGCTACCTTTGGAAAGATGATAATTCCTTTGAGAAGAGCTAGTAGTGGGGAGGAATGCATATATGGTGATTGGAATTGACCAAATGGGCCACAACCCAGAGTAAGCATAAGCAAGGCCCTTCAAAAGGCCCATATCTTGCTTGCCAAATGCAATTGGACTGTATTTAGAGAAAGCCACCTCAAGGAGGCCCATGGCCCATCGTTTGTTTTGATTCAACATATCAAGGAGTTTGATTGGGAAGGATATCCCCATAAAATGCTGCCCCATCAGGATGACAGCATATAGACTTCCATCCCTCACACTGCAATCTATTGGAGCATTGGTGATGGTAGCTGAAACTCGAAGCTAATTTGCAGTAATTACAGAATACAGAGTAAGTTAATCAACTAATTTATTTGGGTTTCACTTCGGTGCTATGAGCAATAGATGGCCTGGATTTACGAGACAATAATTCAAATCAATTTAGGTCATCCAATGCTCGTAGCATTTAGTACTACATATAACATATCATGGAAGATATAATAATAACTTAGCAATATGTATGGAAACTTACAAGGGCACCAGCTTTGAAATGGTGAGGCGTTGTCCTACTTTTTTCTCTAGAGACATAAATTAGGTTTGGCATTAATTGGTCTATGATGTCTTTGTCTTTGCTACTCTACAATAAAATTTACTCAGAAGCAAATGACGTTTTACCACAGTGATCGGCAGTAATGATGTCTATGTACTCTGGTGCATGTTTAATCTCCACTAACCCCCCCCCCCTCCTTCCCCTTAACCACTAACAATTTAACCCACTAACACTATTGTTTGTAAAAATAAAAAATAAAAACTACTCTGGGTAAAAGACATATTTTGCATGCATGTTAGTAACATGCATAACCATTGAATTATATATTATGTTGTTAGACTACTTGGCATGCTTGTCGAATTAGAATGGATGATTACATAGAACCGTATTCAAATTTACAGTTGTAATTGACTAATTTACTAATTGATCTTAACCTAAACCAAGCCGATCAGATTGAATTGGTACTGCATTGGGTTAGATTGGATGATCACTTGCAATATATCAAAATATGAATCTAATTCCTATCAAATCTAATAAAGTCACCCGGTTTACTAGATGTAAGTGTTAAATAAAAATGGGCAATTAGCTACAATAGACATGTTCAGATGTTTAGTTACACTTTTGATTACATTTTCTAAAAATTGTTATCTTGATCAATTCTACCTGTGAAAAGTCCATATTATCCTTCATTGATCTTTTTATTGATCAATATGGCCTTCATTCATCATAAACCAGCAAAAACACAATAACGCCCTAATGGCACCTAACGACACTGTTAGATCCATTTTTTTGGTTGCTCCGCCTTGACTAATCAAATTGGGAGCGGCGAAGAACATCTTATTTGAAATTTGGATTGCTCCACCTCTCAAATCCATTCTTCAATTTTTCGGATTTGAAATTTGATAGTGGTGGTTGGAGAATGAATAAGGAGAGGGTTCCTTGAATGAATTGTTGTGGTTGTGGTGGTTCGATATCAGACAATGGAAGGCGTATTGTTGGAGTATTGTTGGGGCATCATCAGATTGTTGTTGTGCTTGTATTGTTTCAAAATCATAATAGGGGGTGCATTGTTGTGGCATCATCAGATTAATATTGTGGTTGTATTGGTTCAAATTAATTAAAGGGGGAGTATGGTTGGAGTGTCGTGGCATCATTAGATTGTTCTGTGGTTGTATTGTTTAGAATTATAAAAGAGGGAGTATTGGAGTGTCATTGTAGTGTTTTGAGATTGTTGTTGTAGTGGTAGTTCAAAATCCTAAGAAATTTGGTTTAAATAAAATTGAAATGTAAGTCTTTTTTGGTTAAATGAGGTTCTTTAAAATGACTTTTTGGTTTTTTTTTTAAATTACTGGGAGTATAGTTGTGGTGTTAGTGTGGTTGTGTTGTTTGAGTGATGGTGCAACATCGAAATGGGAGAATGTTGTTAGAAGTCGTTAGTGCGTCGCTTCATTTTGTATCTCTTCCTGATTAATTAAGTGTAATATGAACTTTTTACAGGCAAATTCGATCAAAAGAGTAAATTTTAGGAAGTAACAAATAGTGCAACCAAATTTCGAAACATTTGTGGCTAATTGCTCGACAAAAATTCAATGCCCTAGGAAGTGTTTTAGTCCTCTAAATATAGCACTTTCAAGAATCGACTGTAAGTCTTAGTACTGTATTCGACTTGAAAAACCTTTAGAAAGACAAAGCCATGAAGAAACTAGATTGGGTCGGATTGGGTTGGGTTGATTCGAAAAATAAAATTGCTAGTTTAGGTTGGGTTGGATATTCTGACCAAACAACTAGACTGAATTAGCTCAATTGGATGTGTCTAAAAGATCGAATCACGTCGCGTTCAAAATTGTGATTAACAACCGATCAAAATTAAATTCGATTGATTAGTATCCATCTAACTTGCCATTCATTCGATCGGTTGGTTTGGGCAGATTGGAGGTTGGTAATCCAATCCACTCATATTCCAAACCAAGCCCATGACAAGGGACAAGTAACTCTTTACCACAGTGGTGAGAAGGTGTTGAGACCTTACTTGATAACATGAGTTTAAATTCCGTCAATGATTAATCTAACATCTACAACAACAAAACCTTTTCCATTAAGGGCTAATCCTAAAAACCAAAAACAAAAAAACAAAAAAAAGAAAGATATAAAAAAAAAAAAAAAAACATGGCAAGGGAACAAGATAGTAACAACCCATCCCACCCACAAGAAGCGACATATGCACAAATTTTGAGGGATAAAAACAAATTAGCAAAGGATTATTAAAAACCATTCAAAGCCTAATTATATTAATTGATTAACTAATCCAGCAACACGAGATTGCATACTGCATACTGTCACACACTAACCACCAAAATATTACAATGCCAAAGTACACATATTTACAACAGCATCACATGGAGCAAAATACCCTAAAAACCCACCAAAACACTCAAAACACCCAACTCCTCCTCCGACCCACCACAAATTGCCTTTAAAATATTCACAGATTCCTAATCCTACCCACTACCAAACACATTACAATTACACAATTGCCATTACATCCTTTTCAGTTTCCAGTCAAATGTTGTCTAGCTAGCTCTAAAAAACGAGCTATCAATTAGCCGATGTCCTCTTCTTCCAAACTTCAATTTTCTTCCACCTCGTGCCCAAAAACCGAAGTCTTCCCTCCCTCCCTCCATCCACGAACAAACAAACGACCTGACCCGAAAATCAACGAAACCAAAGCGGTAACTAAAAAAATCAACAACCTGATCGATGTTAGTCCGAGCTTATTACCGGTCCCCCTTCAACTTCTTGTGACGACATTGGAAGTTTGCAGCCGGCGCTAATTTTCTTCACGTCTTGACTCGAACATATAAAGATTCTTTTCACCATGTCACAGAATTCCCTGCAAAGAAAACGATGCAAAGGTTTTATAACTAAACAAGGAAACATGTTAGGAAAATCCAAACACAACACGTTTGTGAGATATATTTTTTGCAATAAAGTATACTTACGACCACGGGTCATCACCCATAAGCATCATATCTCCTTCATTATCAGTAAAGACAATTTGCCACATGTTACTGTGGCGAATCTGTCCCTTGATGTCAAACATCTCCTCCAGTTCATCTATAAGCTGATCATATCCTTCCAACGTCGTCAAGTCCACTGCTCGGCCAACAGCTATCCCCTGCATTTGAACCTTTTGGGATGTACAAACACCACAAATCATCATAATCTATAACAAAAATACTTCACACTTCAGAGGCAGAAATAATATAAAATAATTATACTTTGAGCACCTTGGTGCGACTTCTGGTGGACGTAAAGCAACCATGTTTGCTCTGTGTTTCCTTCGGTGATACTTGCAGCTGTCCAGGTTTGCCTTCTTTAGAAGTCTTTGAAAGGTCAGATTTCTGGTCTGACTCGGCTGCTAACATGTTACTAACACGTCCTTCAGGGGTTCCAGTAGATCCACTGATTGGTTGCGGAGGTACCTTCTCCATGGCAAGGGAGCTTGTAGAATGATTTGTAAAGTCTATTCCGAAAATTCGACAACTAGTAGCTGTCTCAGTTTTCTTCTCTTTTTCAACATGGTCAAACATTGAGTCATTTTTCAGCTTTGATGAGTTTGGAGTCGAATATCCAGAGAAAACAGGCCAAGCAGAAACACTTTTACTATCCTCCATTGTTTCCTGAAACATGTGCGGAGAACCACCTGCCTGAGAAGAGAACCATCCCACATCAGTCTGAGTCCTTGGAACAGAGTTGTTGCTGATCACATCTGCCTGTTGGGGTTGCCATCCAGCATGACTTTCACTTCTTTTGCCTTCAGCAGAAACACTCAGTGGTGACTTGTCATGGGACTGTGACAGCCCAGAATTCCAAATAGCTGACGCTGTTGAACTCATTGCATCTAATATCCATACAAGGTAAGTTAGAATTTCGAACACTCGGACCTAAAAAAAACCAATCCAAGGCAAATGGAAAAAATGGGGCCGGTGTTGCTGTTTAGTTGGTTACTGGGAAACAAAAGGTAAAAGGTTCCTACCAAGAGCTGGGATTTCAGTGGGTGGTCGAGGCCTTTTGTTCTTCACCACAGCTGGTTGAGGAAGGCTTGGAGGTACAGATGCCACAAAAGGTTCTATCTCCCAAGGCGATACCTTGTCAGGCCTTGGAATGGATGCAGATTCGTCCCAGTGAACCTTGGAAGATATTTCACAAGAGCAAATTTATGTCAGAACATTTAACGTCCAATACAAGGACAAGGGGGAGGAAAGGAGAAAGGAACAAGACGACAAGAAAAAGAAAAGGAAACCGGTACAAAGAGTTTACTTTAAGTGATCGCCATTTTGAATCTGCCCAGTGAGGAGATACATCTTCAAGACCAACAATTGTGCCTGGAAACCTGGAAAAATTAAAGAACATAGAACAAGAATACATTAGAAAGCCCATAAACAAATTTATTGCGGGTAAACATACTATAGCACTGCTGAATTTGACTTCTACCTTCTCTCAGGAACATCCTCCCCCTCGAACCTCATTTTGAATCTAATTCCAACTGAAAACTTATTGTTGACAGCCTCCAAATACTTGTTCAAACCAATAATGAACTGACTAGTCCTGGACATTTCAAAGGGAAATCAAGATAGAATATGAGAAATCATGTGTTAAATGATTCGATGTATGGATCATTTTAAATTCATCAGGTTAACATAATACAACATACCTTGGTTTATAATATACGACAAAAAGAGTTTGGGTTGCAAGTGCATGAGATGCAGTTGCAAGCACCCCTACATGCATGCTTTGACTCGAGATCACAGATGATGGCATGCTGCTCTGTTGACGAGCAAGACGTCTAACTCCAACACGTAACTCCCTGTTGACCCCTCTAAGAAACCAAATTTCAACAGATTTGTGACTGTTTGATCGAAAAACATATGTCCCATATATCATACGGGAAAATTCAATTTTCCAGGCAGTTAACACTGTTAAATTTAGTGGACAACTAATAAAGAGACAACAAGAATGAAGGGGTGAGAACAAATGAATATGTATACCTGAGAAATACAAAGGAATCTCCAGCACTTAATCTCTTGGAGGTGACAAAAGTACTCCACCCTGTTGTAAGCAAGTGCCTCCGTGGTTGACCTGTTCAGTTAATCACAGATAGAGGAACTGTGAGCAACGATTGATATGGTTAATTGACATGTCTGAATTTTTCCTTAATAGGATTGGCTGTCCAACTCATGAGCTCTTTCTAATAATTATGAAATCAAATCACACATTTGGGACAACTGCAAGAGTGCAGAGCAAATGAAATATGTCACCTCTGAAAATATGCTTAAATCGCCACTCGTAACCATGAAGATCCTTGGCAACCAATTCCTGAGTTGGGGTTGCCTGGGTCATGTCCTGAAAAAGAATACACACATGGTGAAGAAGTACAATGCAAATCAAATCAAAGAAATAATGAGACCTAGAAAGAACAGTCAAACAAAAGCTAGAACAGAGAGAATATATACCAGTGGAGGAAGGCATTCAGTGGCATGTTTCCGAAGAACAGAAAACCCGCCATGGGTGCTTGTATCAGAGGCAGTTAAAACTTTGCAGAATGAGTGAACTGCAGGTCTTTGAGGTTCAGTAAGGCATGGATCAGGACTAGTAGGCTCCGTTTGCTAAACATATAAACATATAACATTAACAATGACAACGAAATAATGCTCGGACAGAGAAAAGTTAATCAGGATGAAGCAGCTCATTTGAATCTTACATTTGCATCTGGAATTAAAGTAATCTGTGCATAAACCTCATCTGTTTCCTGCTCAGCCTAATATTGCAGACAACTCAAGGTAAGATATTTCCAAACAAATAATTTCACAAATTATTCCAAACTTGTTTGGTTACTGAGAAAACCCAGGAAATCGAAGACATATATTCGACAGATTTTAAAGTTGAAGACTTTCCAATCATTGGGACCTCCTAATCAGCTGAAGATGAACTCAACCAACAGATCCAACTGATCTCACTTATCATTTTGCAGGAATCAACAAAAGTTTTCTAATTCCAATCCCTCGTTTTCTCAGCAACCAAACACAAATTAGAGAAAACAAAGAGGAAATACCAGTAGGTTAACGTTAACGACGCGGCAAAGAATCTTCGAGGGAAGATTGAACTGCGGAATCCCTTGATTCAGTTCCTGATTTGTTGGCGTTGACGCCTCCAACTAAAAAATAATCCCCAAAAATAGCAAAAAAAAAATTCAATTTCGACGAAAGGATAACAATTCCATATGCAGAAAAATAAAAATAAAAAAGGAAGATGGAAAACTCACTTGTTCCATGTGGCCCTGTGGAAAGTAGAGTACTCTCTCCTGGACGCGAGGCACATCGACGAGTGGGCCCGCGCAGGCCTTCCATAGCTCCGGATACAGATCGCCGCCTGCAAAACAGAACCCCCAAACAAAAAGGGGAAGAAAAAACGTTAATTTTCCGGGAAAATCCGAGAAAGTCTGAGAAAATGAGAGAGAAAATCAACGGATATTCACCTTCCCGATTCGCCATCGTTGAACTCGAACCCTCCCGAGTCAAAAAATTTCAAACTTGCCCCAACAAAAGCTCAGACGATTCTGATTCTCTCTCTCCCCTTTCTCTCTCTACCTCTCTCTGTCTCTGTCTGTCTCTTTCTCGGTCTACGCAGACAACGCTGAGCTGAATGTATAATTATACTTAAGCACAATAATAGCACCAATAATGACTCCTTAATCAGCCGTTAATACGATTTTAATCACACAAAGCTTCCACTTTTTATCGCTTCACACACCCTTCGTGTAACAATCGCTGATCGATAAAAACCGTTTCGCCGAAACCACCAAACCGTTACAATACCGCCTTCTCTGCTCGCAAAACCGCTTTTCTTCCTCCTCGCTCTCTCTCTTTCTCTCTCTAAAAACACTCTCGCTCTCTCTCTCTCTTTCTCTCTCTCTCTCTCTCTCTCTCTCTCTCTGGGGAATCCAGGTCGAGGAAAACGCAGTTACAGAGAAACCATAAACCGCTTCTTATTATACGCGACTTTGTGTTCGCTTTAACTCTGACGTCTGACCCTCTCTCTCTCCACTCCTTTCTGTGTGACTGAACTAACCGTAGTTAGAGAGTAACCAGAGGGGTGGGTTAACGGACAGGAGCAGCGCGTAACGGAAAGGTGGGGTCCTGCGGGGTGTAAAAGGAGCAGAGACACGACGGCGTTTCGTAACGGCTGGTTTTAGTTCATGTGAACGGCGCTTCGGGATGCGTGTGGTTTGGTGTAACGGAGCTGTTTGTCGCCGTTCCTTTCGTTGTCTGCTTCGAAGCAGGCAACAGGGTTGGCTCGAGTTAACCCGGCAGAATATTGGGGTTGGAATTTTAATTTCTTTTTTATTTATTTTTTGTTTTGTTAATTTAATTTCTTTTTTATTTATTTTTTGTTTTTGTTAATTTTAATTTTATTTATTTATTTTTTTATTATTAGACTTACCCAATGTCCAATTTCTACACCAACCATAAAAAAAAATTAAAAAACTAAAATCCTATTAATTCACCCTAATTATTTCTAAAATGACCTCAAATATCTAAATCCTTTTTTTCTTCCACCCCAACTGCATCATCAGCGTATGCGGAAGTCGCCACACCGTCGGCAACAAAATGCACCACTGGCAGCCTCTCGAACTGCTTCATCTGCATCATGACATCATACGGCGCCGCCATTCTCTTCGAGTACACGAACACCTCGTCGTCGTCCATGTTCCTCAAGACCCCGATGTTCCCCCATCACGTGTCGTACAAGTCGAACCGCCTCGAAGATGTTTCCGGTGCCGACCGACAACTGCAGACGAACGGGAGCGTGAGGATCTCGTTCTCATCGACGTAGTCCATGCCGATGGCTTCAAGGATTTGGTCCTTGACAAAATGGCCGATGCAGGCTTTGGCCATGACGGGGATGGTGACGGAACGATTGATTTCCTTGATGAGCGATGCCGCCCCAGGATCAGATGTCGGCGGGGACACACTTAAGAGCCATGACGGCGTAGGCCTCCCCGGTGACGCGAGCGTGGGTCAGCAGATATTTCTAGGTCCTTTGATGTAATTTTACAAAACAGTAAAAATGGTAGTAAAAATTTTATAAACTAGTAGGGGGATTTTTTTTTTTTTTATTTTTTTTTTTTAAGGAAGCTTTGTAATCTGTTATTTACCATTAAACTACTAACTCGTGGTTGACATAGAGTGGATTTATCATCCCATCCTTAATTTTTGGATCTTTGGTTTGATAATTACGTTACATGGCACTCGGTAATAAGGGTGGCACTCGCCGAAACACGTGGGTGAGCATTTGGATCTTGGTCGGTTTTTATCACCTTCTCTTTTCCCCAGACAATCTGTGAGCGGTTTGGTGGTTCTTGGTCACGCACGTCAGCGGAGGTGAACCTCTAGGGTCCCATGGCGACATGTTATTTACCTTTCTTATTTTAACTTCCACGTAAACTTTATCTCCTATCTAGCAATGATGATGTGGCAACTTTTTTGCTTAGTGGGTTGGATGAAATTGAATCTCTGGGATATTATTGGATTAGCAGGGAAATATAAGACAGAATTTGTAATCCATAATGTCCAGTCTGTTCATTTCATATTTTGACACAACAAACAATTGATTGATGAACTTTATTGAAGTCAATTTTAATTAGTCACAACTTATTCCAACCGACTACCAGGTAGGCATTTAAGGCCCTTTCGTGGGTTGTGTTGGATTGCGCATTTAGGATAGAATTGGATTATCAGGGACATATAAGACAAGATTTGTAACCCATGTATAAGAACAGATTAGATAACTCACTCATTCAGTCTTGTCTGTCTCACATTTTAACATGACAAACAATAAATTAGACTCAAGTCCGTTTTAATTGGTCATAACATATCTCAAGCAACCTACAAACAGGCCCTTACAGTTTTGAATGCAAAACTAAATTTATATTGATCAATAAAACTGCATTTTACTCTAGAGTTGAAATTGGACTATAGAAATGGTTGTACTTAAGTTTCTTTCATGCAAGGTATCATTTAACTTGGGAAAAGTGATGTGGGAGATCTCTGTCTGGAGAAATATTCCACTAGATAAGTATGAGCACGTGGTTAGTCATGCCACTCTCTCAAGTAATGAGCCATTTTGTATGAAAGTATTTAATTGGATAACAATTTATCTGGGTAATGCTAGAGAAACCAAATTTGTGCACCAAATTATGTATCACATTCCACATGATACAAACTTTTATTATAATTATGGGGTGTGCTATCCACACACCCCATTTACTTATTACGTACCCTTTGATAATTTTTATCCATTGATCTTCTTCAATTCATCCGATCTGACGGCCAAAAATTAAAAAGGTGTGTGAGAAGTAAAATGGGATGTATGGATATCACATCCCATAATTATTAATCAAATTTCAATTTGAATAGAAATTTTATAAGTTTAGTACATAAATTTAGTATGCCTAACATTATTCAAATAGTTTTTAATCATGACGAGATAAAAATTTGGTTATTTATTTTTAAAGGAGGCTACACCTATGTTGGTATCATTTTGCTCAAGAAAAACTTGGTGATGTGCCCGATAGAATGTTGAGTAATAAGTGTTGTTCAATAAAAACACGTCATATTTAAAAAAATAAATTATAAATAAAAATTTGTACTTACGTGACATATTTTAACTAGATGGTACGTGTCGCTCAATATGTCACATAGTAGGAGGCTCTTCACATGACATATTTTATAACGAACGTACGGTATATATCACCAAATGTAGTAGGGAGCGATCGCTACCCAAATTTTTATTTTTATTTTTTTATATGATTTTATTAGAGAAAGGAAACTAAGAAATAATAAAATATGCTCCTTAATTACCACTGAAACTAAAAGTTCTCACTTGTTTAGTATTTGCTTTTTGTATCAAGACTTGATTACTATTTGTTTAGCAAGGAAATAATTTAAATATTGAAATCTTTATATTAAAAATACAAAAAGCAGCAGCCATCAAGCTTGATAATCACAGTAAACTGTGAAAAAAGACGATGAGAAAACATGCATGCTACGTCAGATTAGGGTTTGCTTTACCTCTCCCCTCCCTGGGATGAACAATGAAAAGGAAGTAAAAATATTTGTTTAAACCCACCTTTATTTAACAAGTTAATTACTAGTCTAAGTAGTCCTCCTCTCCCTGCTTTGCATCTTTTAACAACTTAAGCAACTCTCTGTCCCCACTACCAGAATATATCTTATCATATATGAATATATGAATATGATTTTAATCAAATTATTATCCAAGATGCCTTCCACACACCTCACTTTTATACGCTTTATCTTAATAATTAATTAGTTTATTAATCTAATCTTTTTTAATATCATGCATAATATAGTGCTAAGCTTCCTTCTTTTTCTGTGGGTAGGACATTTTATTGATCATACCATATATATTAATTAATGGGTAATGTTAAGGAGATCAAATTTTATAAACCAAATGATGTGAATGTTGATGGTTGGATTATTGCTTAAATGTTGAGTAATGTGTTTATTTCTAATTGGATCCATCTCATTTGGTTGCAAATGCAGTTTAAAAATTTAGTCTCCCTACAATGCAACCAAGTGGTTAAATATTACGTGCATTTGTATTAAAAAAAAAATTATGGGTAAGAGTTCTACTACTTTAATCTGAGTGAGATTAAAATAAATTTGGTATATATGTTTTTGATATGTAAGTAATTGAACTGATATTAGTGTTGGACTAAATATATTTAATTCTAATAAAATATTATGGAGAAAAAATAATTGAACTCATTTTGAATTAAGAGGGGGTTAAAACCTCTTAGGAAACTGATAGTAACTGACTCCATAATAAGAGGAGCAGTTGCCATCAAATATATGCATGTCTTTAATCGCTCTTCTCAAGTTAACGTACGTAGTTCAATATACGCTCGTATTCATGATGAGTTTTTCTGGAGATACGAACTGATATCAATTAAGGTTTACTTCTGATTAGACGTTTTGACTAGTAGAGCGTGATTTAGAGCATCTTTAAAAGAGATGTTAAATTGTCCATATAAGTTAAAACAGTAAAAAAAAGGCAGCTACTATTGTTTCTATCGAAATATCAAATTCTATGTGGCATGACATGAAATGGCAGCAAAGAAACTTATTGTTAAATTTGACAGCAGCTTCAAATTCGTTTTACTAAATATTTTAATGTTCACTCTCTCTGAAAGTCTCTGGAAAAACAGAAAAAAATTTCTAACCTTTTCAAACTTGTTCTTCCGAATCATCAGATCTATGACTCTCTCTCTCTCTCCTCTCTCCTCTCTCCTCTCTCATCTTTCTCTCAACTTGGTACTGGTAATGGGATTTTGTACTAAAGTTTTTTTCTATACGGGAGGTCTCGATTTTCCAGCTAAAATCTAGATATGTGCTGGAGATTTGATAGTTGCTCAATGATATATATGTGTGTGTGTGTATTTTATTTTTTTTTGTACAATGACACAAACTTATTGTATAATGTCAAATATGGACCGACTACATTAATTACTACTGTCATCATCTTATAGTTACATATTCCTTTTTGATGTCATTATTGTATATATGACTATCCAATAGTGATAGTATTAAATAGTTGTAAGTATATTAGTTAAATTCAAACTTTAATTACAAGTTGATTGAAATGTATATAATGAAAGTCTAGC